AAAGGTTATAAGGTATAGTTTGGAATGCTTTGTTTAACATCCTTCGCACCTGCTACGACACCACCTTGTTTTCTCTTTCTTTTCTTTTCTCGAAGAAAGTTTTCAAGGAGAAACTTTACTCTGCTACTTGTCTAATATAAAGCAATCGGTGTGTGAACTTTTAAGATTTGTCGACTTCAACCTGGCTGGGAAATTCTGGGAGTCGAAGTCCCCAAGTCTTAAACGTTGGACCCTCCCGCTATAGGGTTGGGCTAGAAGACCTCCAAAAGCCCCTTCCAGCCCCTTGTTTATTCTGACCAGCCAAATACAACTGGCCACGTACCAAAAACCTCGGTGCCTGGCCTTTTGAATTCAGGACGGTTATTTTCAGAGCTCACGTGATTCCCCGAGGTTTTATTCTCCAGGTCCAAAGTGGAAGCCGATCCGGCCTTTTCGATTCAAAGGTCAGGAAAGCGGAGGATTAGAGGAGGAGTGGGGGGAGGGGGGAGAGGAAGCGAGCCTTCAAAATGATTAAGTGAATTAGAAATTAATACCTCCCACCCCTGTCCAGGTTTTTAACCTAGCAGAGAAAGCAGGAGAGAGAATTGCAGACAGGAAAAATGCCAGTTGTGGGAAAGGGGAGACACCTTGATTCTAATCCTGGCCGAGGGGTCCTTTATGGTGGGAGGAGAGGGGTGGGGTCACCATGCAGACAGGAGTTTTGTCTTGTCCTGCTTCGCTTCTGTTCGTCAAGCTCTTCTTTCCTTGGCCAAGTCGGTCTCAAGAACTCATGGCTACATTCAAAAAGAAATTCTTGCTCATCCAGGTCATGGTTCGCCCAAAGGTGTATTTTTCAGGAGGCAACTCGACTTTCTGTTTCCTTTTTTCTTTTGAAGACGTTTCCCTTCTTATCCAGGAAGCTTCTTCAGCTCTGACCGGATGGTGAGGAATGGATTTATTATTCCTTGCAGGCAGCTGGTCCTTTGCATCCTTTTAGAGGGTCTTTGAAGCACTTGGAGGTTTATCTCTGTCTTCAAGATCACCTTGAGTGGTGCAAATGGTTCCTGTAAGTCTGCAATTTTTTCCGCCCTCTGGAAATCCATTTTCAAGATGGATTCCCAGAGCCGAGGTGGCGCAGTGGTTAAATGCAGCACTGCAGGCTACTTCAGCTGACTGCAGTTCTGCCGTTCGGCTGTTCAAATCTCACCAGGCTCAAGATTGACTCAGCCTTCCATCCTTCCGAGGTGGGTGAAATGAGGACCCAGANGTGAAAATCTTTCCTTTACCCAATTGGGCCAACATGTCCTTCATCAGAGGGAGGGGGTAAACATTTTGTATACAAACAGCATTTAGGTTTTTATAATTAACACAGAGACAAAAGGAGCCATCTTTCTTTTCTCTAAACAACACTGGAGCAGCCACTCGGGGCCTAGCAGGTTCAATAAACCCCCTTTGTAAATTTTTATCAATAAACTTCCATAATTCATCCATCTCACGGGGGGTCATTGAGTAGATTTGGGGTTTTGGAAGTTTTACCCCTGGGAGGATATCAATGCTGCAATTTGTTGCGCATTGAGAGGGTAATTTATCAGAGGATTTTTCACTGAAAACATCCCTTAGGTCCCAATATTCTTTTGGGATTTTCTCCTTCTCCCTCAATTTTTTCCTGCCCTGTGGCTGCTGGGTTAGATTCAGTGTTAGCAATGTTGGGAGCCCCCCCTCTCCCTCAGAGGGTGTAGCAGATCGGATGTGCAACCACCCTTTCTTCCAATTGATGTGTGGGTTCCATTTACGTAACCAGGGTAAGCCCAATATGAGAGGCCGATCCATTCCCGGTGCGACAATAAAACTTAGTGTCTCTTGGTAAGTTCCCATCCACATATCTATTGGTTCAGTCACAAAATGGGCAGGGCTCCCCCCAGCTATCGAGCCGGCCAGCTGGCAAAAACAATGGGGACTTTTAAAGTTCTCAGTTTCAGGCCCAATTTTTCCACCACTTCAGGGCTAACGATGCAATGTGTGCAACCCGAATCTAAAAGGGCCAGCATTCTTGCTTGGGCTCCAGTAGAGGGCACTTTAAGTTCTACTGGGATAGTCATGGGGCCCGATCGGGAACTTACCAGACGTTCGTCGTCAAATTCGGTTTCACTTTCCTCCAATGAGGAGGATGGTTCCTCTTCCCCTGGAGTAGGAAGGAACTGCGCAGCAGGCTCCACCCCTTTCATAGCAGTATCCCTTCTCTTCCCAGGCTGTTTGTCTGGCTTTCTCTCGCCCCCCCCCCCCCCCCGGCAGAGGGCTTTGGGCCCATCTTGGTGCGGCAGTTTGCTGCTTGGTGCCCCTCCTTCCCACAACGGAAACAGGTGATCGGCCTGGGCTTGCTTGTAGACCAACTTTTCCCTCCTTTTGGAGCTCCTTGGAGGGGTTTGGGAGGGGTAGGCTCCTCTTTCTCACTGTCCTCACGGTACTTGTCTCGGGCTAAATCAATTTCCACATCCGCTGCCAATTCATACCAGGGTTGCAATCTACGGGGGCACCCCCTGTTTACACAGTTCAGGTACATATCTTTGTTTAAACCGTCCATGAAGCCGTCCAACAGAGCCTCTTCGGACCAACCGCACATATAAACAGACAATTCACAAAATTCTTCTATATATTCAGCAACTGGCCTTTTCCCCTGGGTAAGGGTTTTCATTCTAGTTCTAGCTTTTCGCTCTGTGAGCGGATCATCAAAGCGTTTTCTCAGGGTGGCCATAAATCTATTATAGTCTCTCAGTAGGGGCGAGTCAGCGTTATGCAGGGCAACCATCCAAGCTGCTGCTTTATTTTTTAGTGCCATGGTAACCACTCTTACCTTGGCTTCTTCTGTGGGGAGGTCTTCTACGAACTGTTGCATGAAATTCCATACTTGAACCAGAAAAAAACCTAAATCTTTAGATTCCCCACCAAATTTCACACCAAGTGGAGGAACTTTAGCCATCTGGCGTCTGCAGGGGGCCCCTCCCCCTCTTGGAATGGCTCTCGCAGCTGCTGCTGCTGGAGTCGGGGCTTGTTCATCCTGATCAACTCCACCATCTGCCCCCCCCCCCCGGCCCCTCTCGAGCAGAACAGGCCCTCTGCAGTTCTCTCCTCTGTTTCTGGGAGATCAGCTTCTCTTTCAGGACCGCTCTCACATAACCGTCACCTTGATCCCTTTATCTTGATCCCTTCCAGTCGGGTTTCAGGCCTGGTTACTCCACCGAAACTGCTTTGGTTGCGCTNATCCTAACATTCTCAAAAATTCAAGTTGTGCTTGTTTTAGCACATAAACTCACTCAAAACCTTAAAAAGACTTTGGTTATATTAATAAAAATTATGCATCTCAATCTGACTACAGAAAATTTGATCAAAGTACTAATTTTGCGTGGTTTCTATAAGTGAAAAGTTGATTAAACATGTAAATACAGCTTAAAACTGAAAGTGTGCAGGACTTTTTCACACAGCTGTAGTAACATAGGCTGTCAGCTGGCTCAGCCTGAGCAAAGTGCTTAAAAAGGGTATGGGACCTGAGAGCAGAGATTCAAAAGTTCTGTGAGAAGAAAGGAAATGACATCCCAGAGAATGGCAGATTTTGGATTTGCTATTGATGTGACTGCACCAATGAATGAACTAAATATCAAACTGCAATGCAAGGGCCTTTTTGTACATGAAATGTACAAGCTTGGTGAAGGCTCATGAGAAAGTTGCAGTTTCTTTCAAGCCAAATGGAGGACAACATTCTCACTCACTTGCCAATGCTAAAGTCACACCATCAGCTGATCGCCTCCTCAAGTACTCATCCATGTTAGGTGCACTGCATGGTGAGTTTTCAAGGCAATTTTAAGACTTCAAAACAGTTGAGAATTATTTTTTCCTTTTACCTGCAGTGTGAATAACACACCCAGCGATGTTCAGCTTGAACTCCTTGACCTGCAGTCTGATACACTACTGGCAGAGCACTTTAAGTCAGTATCACTACTTGATTTTTACTCTTCTCTCAAAGAGAACTTTCCACACATGAGGAGGCATGCTCAGAAGATGTTAGTTCTCTTCTGATCTACCTACATATGTGAACATTCTCAGTGATGATGTTCAACAAATCCAGATACTGTTACTTTCACTGATGATCACCTGTCAACTGCCCTTCGCATATCAACCTCAGACATTCAACCAGACTTCAGTGCACTTGTTCAGGCCCAAGACAGACTGGATTTTTCTCATTGAACAAGAAAAAAGAACTGTAAAACATCAAATCCTGACCCCCGTGCTTTGCAGGGCCGCTTCGGGAAGCAGAAAAGGTGTAGAGGGCTTGCTGGGCAAACACGGCAACATGTTTATGAGATGGCAGCGTCCAGAAGGACTAAAGTGCTACGTCTCTATTGGGCTTGCTGCAAGAAAGCCAGGCTTTCAATGCCTACAGTTATAGGTAGGAAGATGGTATCTCGGGAGTGGAGCCTTCGGTGCCAAGTCCCTCTTCTGCCCCCATGAAAATCATACCCCACCCCACTCCCTCCAGTTAAATAGCATAGGTGATAGGGTTTGTTTTAAATGGATAAAAAGATCGTTATCAAAATCCGAGTGGAAGTGAGGATCCCCACTGTCTAGAACCACCCGAAAATGCAACGCGCAGATTGGGTGGGTGGGGCTGCAGTATAAGTATAAGACACACCTGGATTTTCACCCTCTTTTTTGGGGTAAAAAGGTGCATCTTATACTCTGAAAAATACGGTATATTGTATTGCGGATACTGTGTGCTCAGACTGCTAGTTTTTTTTCATTCTACTTGTCTGATGCTTACTTTACCATGGTGCTCTCAGGGATAGGGAACGTGAACGTGATCGCCGAGACCGGGACAAGGAGCGGGAACGCCGTCGTAGCCGATCCCGAGAGCGCAGGAGGCGAACACGGAGCCGAGAGAAAGAGGAGCGGAAACGCAGCCGGGAACGCAGCAAGGACAAAGACCGGGAACGCAAGCGTCGGAGTCGTTCTAGAGATCGCAAGCGGGAACGGGACAGAGAAAAGAAAGAGGAGTTGCCAGAAGTGGGAGAGGCCCAGACTGATGAGGTTACCCTTGGCGAGATAGGTGTAGATGGGATAGAGGTGAAGCCTGAAGGGGATGAAAAAGGTAGAGAGAGGGACCGGGATAGGGAGAAAGAGAGGGACCGTCGGCGTAGTCATCGTGACAGAGACAGGGATCGTGACAGAGAGCGTCGCCGTGATAGGGATCGAGATAGGGACCGTGACCGTGAGCACAAGCGTGACAGGGCTGAGCGGGGTGCAGAAAAACGGGAGGAGCGGGGGCAGGACAATGCAATGGGAGAAACATTGGAGGAAACCAGTCAGGATATGTTCCTGGACCAAGAATCCATACAGTCAGCTGATGGATACTTATCTACTGAAAATGGATACATAATGGAACCCCCACTGGAGTGATGAATGGAGACTCTTCCTTGTCCCTTGTCCAGCC